AAAAAAAATAATAATAATAATAATAAAGGGAGAAATGTGGGATTCACATATAAATCAAGTATAAAAATCAAACGAATATTCATATTTGACCTGATTGTTTATAGTTCATAATGAGTGATCAAAACCGAAAGTTTTTGTGATGACTGCCCTTGTACTGTTCATCATGAAAGAACTTATTCACTATGTAAGAATTTGTTCATATTGTAAGAACTTGTTCATTATACTTCAGCAGATTGTAGACTGACGAGAATTAGGCTGGGGGTGGATTAATGATTGTGCATTGAGCATTGACTCCCCTATACAGAATTTTATTGTTGTTAACAACCATTTGATCAATAAATATGAGAGATACCCCCTCAAAAAAAAAAAAAGATTTCCAATTAAAAGAAAAAAAGGATTGACAAATTAATACTTAGGTCCAAGTCTAAAAAAAGCTGTGCAGATCATGTATGCTAAAAATGACAGAAACACTGATAAGAGAAACCAAAGAAGACATAGTAGGTAGCCTTCAATGATCTCCACCCCGTTATTCAAATCCTTGTATAACTCCTTCCCCTCAAGAGTAAACTGAACTTACTAACTTGCTTGTAATGAATAAAATACAACAGACATCATTTCCAAACTGAAGTTATACAAATACTGTGACCTCTATATCCAGCACTCCCTCTCATGTCTTGGATCCCTCATGCCTGGGGAAGCCAGCTGCCATGCTGTGAGGCTGCCTTGTGGAGAGGCCCATGTGAGTGAGCTTAGAAGTGTATCTTCTGAGGCCTGCCAACACTGTGTAAGTAAGACTGGAAATTGATCCACCAAGTCTAGCCTTGAGACTACTACAGTCATGGCCAACACCTTTAGCAGCACCATGAGAGAAATTCCCCAGCTAAGTTGTCTCCAGATTCCTGGTCATAGATATTATAAGATTAGAGATGTTTGTTGTTTCCAGCCACAAAGTTTTAGATGTAATTTGTTATCAGCCATATAGATAACAGAATACAAAATGAAGTTATATTAGGCCATGGATTGGAAGACTTGATATTGTTGTCTTTGTCCTCAATTTTATCTATACATAGAATGCAATCCCAAACTAAATCCCAGCAGACCTTTTCACAGATGTGGATAAAATGAAACTAAAATATAAATAGAATGGCAAAGGAAGGTAGCTAAAACAATTATGAAAGAAAGAAAAAAGTTAAGGGCTTATATTACTTGATTTCACAACTTACTATAAAGCTACAATCATCAAGACAGTGTGAGATGGGTGAAGGGATAGGCATATAACTGAATGGAACATAATGGAGAATCCAGCAAGAAACAGATCCACAGAAATAGAGTCAACTGACTTTTTAAAAAATTACAAAGGCAAGGAGAAAGGATAGTCTTTTCAACACACAGCACTGGAGCACCTGGGTGTCCACATGCCAAAAGAAAAAAAGCATCACAACCCACACCTCAAAATGGATTGTAGAACTAAATGTAAAATATAAAACTATAAAACTTTTAGAAGATAATATAGAGAAAATCTTTGTGATCTTGAGTAAATAAAGGTTCCTTAGATACAATACCAAAAGCACAATCCACAAAAAGAAAAAATTGATAAATTGGACTTGGTCAAAGTCAAAAATTTCAATCTATAGAAGACACAGTTGAAAGAATGAAAAAACCAGAACAAAATATTTGCAAATCATATTTCTGGCAGAGCGCTTCTTTGTCAGAATATAAAAAGAACTCTCCAAAACTCAACAATAACATGATAAACAACCCAATTAAACCCAGTTTTAAAATGGGCAAAAGATGTGAACACTTAACCCAAGGAGATGCATGCATGGCTAAAAAGTATATGAAAAAAATGTTCACCTCTATTAGTGAAATGTAAATTAAAACCTTAATGAAATACCAGTATGTGCTCATAGGATGGCTAAAATTTTAAAAATTGAGAAAATTTAAGAAGTATGAAGGGTTTACCCTATAGGTATCAAGACTTACCATAAACTAGAGTGATTAAGACAAATAGTGTAAAGCTAAGTGAGGTAATAATGTAAAGCTAAACAAACAGATAATCAGAATATAATAGCCCAGAAACAGACCCATACGTATATGGTTGCTTGAGTGCATATACAATCTTCAGTAAAATGGTATTGGGTCAATTTGTTATCCTCAAGAGGGGAGAAGCTTACATCCACAAGTGCTCTGGTTTTCACAAACAGAATGGTTCTACTCTCTGGGTTTAAGTGGTACTCCTCTTGCAAGATGAAGCAGAGATCTTTAAGTTTAGGGTTCTCACTCCTGGGATCCATGGAAACACTTTCTAGTTCCTGCAACTTTTCTGCAAAAGGGGAACATTTTATAAATGGCTTATTAATTCTAGAAGTTTAGAATACATTGTGACTTTTAGATATAGTTCAAACAGTTAATCTCTCAATCTTTGACTAGAATATTATGAGTAACAACCATTGATTAAATGTCTATGATACATGCATACCATGAGCTGAGAAGCAGAGCTTAGAGCTGGGAGCTTTTTCTCCCAGAAAGCTGACTGTTCGTGTTTAGTAGCACACCACTGGGTTACACATATGTATAGTGACTACTTCAGAATAGGCTTAAAAAATTACCTTTGGGTAAAGGAATATGAAAGAGGAAGTAGGAAGACTTACTTTTCATTTAACATTTTTCTGTACTTCTCTTAATATGAGGGCAGTGGGAGTATGGGCCATTTTGTTTTTCTTCTTTATAGAGAAGTATATAAATTGAAGTCTCTTTAATATCATTAATATACTTAAAATTTTCTTTAAACCTTTATTAAATTACTAAAAATTTTTGAAAATGCTACTTACCATTGAATATCTCTATGGGACATATCCTTTACAAATCCTACTAATTTTCCTTCTTCAAAATAGGAAGTAGTGTAAGCAGCGGATTCTTTCCGTAAGTACCAGATTTCACTGAAGCTTAATAGTTTTACCATCTATACTATCTTCTTAAGCCCAGGACAACTCCCTGAGCATCATCATATGTTAAGTATAATACTCTGTAAGTATGCTGTCACTATAGAGTCACCAGGCTCCAGTGGCTTCCTTCTCTGCAAACACCACCCACCTTCAAATCTCTGCGTGAGATGTTGCTCCGTTGCATCAAATCCTGCTGCTCGGACATTATTGTAGAACTCTTTCAAGTAATACAGAGCATCTTTCATTCGTGCATGCTCATTGATAATGAGAGCATCGTTATATTTCTGTTTAAAATGAAAACTGAGTTTCAATGTGTTTCTAATGTCTAATACAATCACTTGTACAATTACTCATACTTAGGCTCAATTAACTGTACTTAGCACAGAATTAATTTTAAGAATGAACTTTTCTCAAATCTATTCCAACTTAGTTTCTAAAGATAAACAATTTCTAATGATACTGTAATAAAACCTTTGAACCAAATACTGAAAAAAAATCTTAATTAGAGTCATTAACTAATTAGGATCACTTTGGAGTCTAGAATTCTACCTTTGAAGAGAAAGAGAAAATTACAAGAAAATGCATGTCAAATATTAAAACACAAAAATCAAAAGCAAATCAACTTCCACATCAACCTGAACCATAACCCAGACATTCAACTTAATCTTTCTACATCCAAAGCCATCACTGAGTTGTAACTGCTGTGTCTGGAACGATGGTGCTGACCACCTACACCAAATATTCAATTAAATCCATTACAATTCTATAAATGCAGACTGTTGAGTGCATTTTTAAATATTTTTAATGGCATGATAAGTCAAGGAAGTCAACTTTCAGGTTAACCAGAGAGCAACCAGAGACCCTGGATTTCTGAGCATGTGGCTTTACCAAAGGTGAGAAAACATATACTTCAGGATACGTTAACAGGAGCCACTCACTCTCAAGATGACTGTCACTAGTTTTGTATCTCCAATAATGTTCATCATCACCCCATTTTTTTCAATCATGTCACTCATGGGAGTGCTGCAGGCACAGCACAGAGCCTCAGCCTTTGTTTCCATCCTGTTGCCTATAGTGTTATGTTTCAGAAAACAACAAAGATGTTGAATGGGATGACTTTTGGAATTTGCTTCATAAGAACCTGCTGGAAAGTTCCTAAGTGAGCTCATGGGGACAGGATGAAAACTTGAAGTTCTCTCAGCTACCAGAGTACAGTTCCCAGTAGGTGCTACAATTAAAATATGACTTTCAAAAGTAACACATACCCGCAAATGTGAAGTATACAAAAACAATGCTTTACAAATCCTGCTCTCTTCATCTTTGTCTGGCATCTGAAACACCATGCACATTTTCTGAACTGCAACAATCCATTGTTCATATTTCTGTGTTCCAAAATCCCTATTTTGAATTTGAGATAATTTTTCTGAAAAAAAAAAAAAAGGTTTTCATTTTACCATAGTCAGTCATTTAAGTTCCAAGCATGCCTCATCCTCTAATTTCCTTTCTTACTCTCTGTAAATAAAGTATTCCTCCTGAAAGAGCCTGTTTCAGCAATGTATCTGTGTATGTATATGATTGTTTACTGAACACTTACTATCACAGGGTCTTACATTCATAATTTCATTTCATTTTCACAAACCCATGAGGCAAGTACTACATTTTACAGATGAGGAAACTGAAGCTCAGAAAAGTGAAGTAATTTACCCAGGGTAACACAGTACATGAGGGAGCACAGGCATTCAAATCCAGCATGCCTGATACCTTAGCCTTACAGGCATTATGACAGACAACCAAAGCAGAGGTAAAACAACAGACATGACAACATCTAACTTCGGTTTAAAAATGAAGAAACAATGCACAAAAATAATAGGTCTCATGAGCTTCAGCAGAGGAGGATGTTTAAAAGCAGGAGAGACAGAACTCAACATAGCCTGTTCTCTTTACTATGGTTTTAACCATCTGATCTCCACAGAACTCTTCTCAGGGCCAAGCACAGAACAAGTGCTCAAAACACGCTTGCCATGGATGCTTCTGTAAGCGTGCATCTCCTCAGCTAAGCCTCAGTTGCTTGGTTCAAAAACTGAGCATCTGCTGCTCAAAAATTGAGCATCAGTGTGCTGGGGATAAAAGGATATGGGAGACACAGCCCTGTTCTCAGTCTGTGACTTACTCTAGGATCAGTTCTCCAGGGCTCCTCAAGGAAAAGCATAGTACAGTAAAATTCACAGACAACAGCTGTATTTCCAGGTTAAAAATGCTCTTCTTGCCCATTCATTTTTAGTAGGAGGAACAAAGGAGGCCACCCAGAGAATAGCACTGATGCTCCTTTCCAGCCTTAACTATAAGTGAGGTAGCTGGCAGGAAATCAGATGAATCAACAAGTACTTATTGAACTTGGGTAGGTGTGAAAATAGCAAGCAATCTGGAAATGAGAGGCTGACAGGATTTGGGTTGGTGAAAAGGTGGAGGTAGGGTATGAGAGGCAGAAGGAATAAGGAGGTAGAAATTCACATCTGTCGACCCTTCTGCCACCTCCCCAATTCAGACCACATAATAATGTTCCTGGATAATATGATGGCCTCCCAACGGTCTCCCACTCCCAGCCTTGTTCTCTACAATCCATTCCCCACTAAGCAGCTAGAGACAGTTTCTAAAACTGCAGGTAAGAAAATACGCTACCCACTGCTTGAAGATCTTTAGTGATTTCTCTGGCCAGATTCCTGTCCTAGATCATGGGATCCCTGTGATCTAGCCTCCACCTGCTTCTCATATCTCTAGCCACTTGCCTGCCTGCATCTGACAGGACTAATGAAAGTCCCCATACTCTCTCTACTCTCCTGCCTTTGTACAGCTGTTCTCTCTGCCTGAAACACCTGTCTCCACCACCCACCTACTCCCATCCTGTCACTTTATTATTATTACTCATCAACTTCAGCTTCGCTGTTAGACTGGAAATGCCACTCAGACTGGCCGGGGCTTATCTGAGGATCCATGATGTATTCCCATCACCTAGCACATTGCCTAGCACTGAATTAATTGAACAAGTGAATGAACTCGTCCAGAGAACTGCTAAATCAAAGGATTCAAGTAGATGAGTGGAAAGTAAACATGGAAAGATAAGTAAAACCAGATCATGCACGCAGGCCTTAGACTCTCAGGTTAGAGGCTTAGAGAGCTTTGCCTGGAAGGCAAAGAGATTACACAGAACATTTACATGATAAAACTGGTATTTCAGGAAGACTGACCAGTAATGGGGGATTGGATGGAAAAGAGAATGGAGGTGGGCAAAGTAGCTAGAAGGCTGTTAGATAAGTTCTAAATCAAGCTGTGAAAGGAAAGAGAAAAGGAAAACAAGTGTGAGAGAAGGCAAAGCACCACAAAGTGTCTTGCAGACATCACAAATTCAACATCTCTAAAACTCTAAACTCACCTTGTGTGTGCCAGAGCTGATCCTAGGAGTTCTGGAACCAGTACCACCCACTGGCATACATACAGGTGCCCAAGTCAGAAGCCTAGGGGGAATCACCCCAACCCCCACCCCAAATCAGTTCCCCATTAAATCTGAAACTTCCTGTTTTCAGCATTTTGCACAAGCCTCCCCTCTTTACCAACTCATTTTGACTGCCTCTATTTGTCCCTCTTCATTCCCTGTTATCCTTATCACATCACTTGTCAGTTTAAAATCTTCTGTTGCTCCCCATTGCTTTTAGGATAAAATTCAAACTGACCTTGGCTTACCCAGGCCCATCTTTGTCTGATCCTTGCCTCTCCCATTAGCCTCACTCTTTTCTACTACTCACATTTTGGAATTACCATGAAATGCTTCCAGTTTCTAAAAGTCATTATGCTCTCTTTTCCTTCTATGCCTGATGACTTCTTGACCTCACTTAATTGTCTCATTTTCTTAACTTGGCTGACTTCAAGACTGCCTCAGGCATCACCTCCCCCAGGAAGCCTTACCTGCATCCCAGTCCAGGCCAAAGTTCCCCTGTGTTCCCTGGTGCCCACTGTGTGACTCAGCCCTGCCGCATGGAAACTACTTGCACCTGATTCTTATTATTCAACTGTGAGTTCCCTGAGGGTAGAGACAATGTCTTTAATCTTGTTATTTCCATTACCCATCACAGTACCTGGCCCAACAAATATCTGGTGAGTGAATAAATGAAGAAAAAGAAAAAGAACAGAACTTGCTGACTTCATGAGAGAGTCTCAAAAAAAGAATCAAAGACCACCTCTAGGACTGAACCTGAGTCATCAGGGAAATGGTGGTTTCATTCATATAAATAAGGGAAGTGAGGACAGAGGCTGATATGAAACATCAAGAAAGCAATGACCTGATAAACATGATTATTTTGCAGGTGTGTTTGTCCAGATGGATTTACTTTATATTTAAAAAGAAAATAAAAAGGCAAGACAAAATAAAGCAGAACTTACAAGGTTCTTGAATAACCTATAATTAAGAAACAACCTCTGGATATGGTTTTGACATTGCCAGAACTAAGGAGAATACAAAATGACACGAGTGAACAATATATGGCTATTCCCAAATGGAGAGGGTACAAAATGAGATTTATCTCACCAGGAATTATGGTACCAATTTCATCAAAGACACTCTTTGCCAGACTTTCTGTCTCCCACATCAGCTGAGATATGATGCATTTAAATCTGTCAGTAGTCCGTGATTCCACTTTCCTGAAAACTAGAGCCATCAAAAGAGAGTGAGTAGTTTTCAGAAGAACACATCAGTTCAAAGTAGGCATCTCCAAATGTTTCTCTGCCTTTGTTACTTCCTCTGTAAAGCCTGAGGTCCCAAGCTTATAGGCAAGTAGTCTGGATCTAACAAACGCTCAAAACCCTTGCAAAAGCTCCCTAGTGCTTAATGCACTGATTCCAACATCTCTGTCTTTCATAGTCTGGATTTAATCCAACTTCTCACTTTGGCTCTCCTGTCACTCAGCACAGAGCCTCTGCTCTGCTGAGGCTGTTATTCATCTTATCTTTGCAAATGCCATACTCTTAACCCTGTCTTGGTTCTTAATCTTCCCCTTTCCCACTCAACCTCCAGGAGTGTTCACATTGTTCCTGATATTCATTATTGCAGTTTCAGCAGAAACATTAACTGCCCACTATGCACCATGTTCTGGTGATAAAAGATTGAAAACACACTCCATGCTCCAGAGAGGGCTGTGTTCTTAGGAGAAAGATCACATCAAGTAGCCACAGCAGACTTCTGTAACATAAGTATATGTAAGGTATCATAGAGCACAAGAAAAGGGATCTCTAATTCTTCCAGAAGAGGCAGGCAGTGCTGTGTGATAAACAGGGGAAGAGAGAAGGAGGAATCAAGCACAGTCATGTACACAGGATAAATTAGAAAAAGCATGATACACTTGAGGAGCCCAGAGGAATGTAACATGGTTGGGTTTATGAGAGGTGGGAGGAGATGAACTCAGAGGGTTAGGGGGACTGGATTATGAAGAAATCTGTATTTGATACTAAAAAGTTTAGAATGGGTACCTTCTCAAACTTCTTACAGGTAGTTCTGAGAAAGAAACTTAACCACCCCTTCCCTGACAATTTCATGTGTGTTTTTCTGCCTTATTGAGTCACATGCTATTCAGATAACAATGATGAAGTCATATATATCTCCTCTCCCCATTCTTCCTAAGTTAGTATAGCACTGGTATTTAACAAACATTTGCCAGTCAATCTTATTTTTTTAAATCATATTTTGAAGAAAGATATGATGAATTCAGACAATTTCATTTCAACCAAAACTATCAGATACATATTCAAGTGATGAATGGCCATGCAGTATCCTCTGCAGGCATGGGACATGGGGAAGGACTGAACCCAGTACCTGGCCATTTACATGCTTAGATTTTCTCATCACCTCTCTTTCATTGTTAGTATCTTTATAAGAGTTTTATGGAACTGAAGAGTAAGAATGTTTGCTTTCAACAGGCCATTCCTGAGGTTCATCCAATCCTTGGGGAGAGGGCTCAGTTGACAAGAAAGACTAGAAACATGATTGCTTCCCAAGTTTGCAGTTAAATATTTTCTACTAAACAAAAAAATGGTAAAACTCCAGTGTTCATCCAAATGGCTCTAAAGTAGAACAGCAGGGGTAACAAAGTCTCAATAGGCTTGTTACTCAACCCCACTTACCTTTCTGGGGTTTATAAACTATTTCCTCCAGTTCTTCCACGTTTTCTTTGACTGTTGCTATCACTGATGTGTCAAGGGAAGCACACAGTTTGCAGATATACTCTATGGTTTCATTTGTGTTTTTGGCATCCCCAACGCCAACTGATGCCGTCAGCCCAATGACCTGTAAGGAGCATTTCAGATCATTAGTTGTCTGGAAAGTAAAATGATGTTTCTGTAACCCCTCTTGTAACTCTTTTCTGATAAAGTAGTTTTTTTTTAATACTAACTTCAAATAAAGAGCAAGAAAATTTTTTTTCCCTGATATCCTCTATGAAACTGCAAATGGAAGGGTCCTAAATAGGCAAGGCACTGAATAAATGCCAAGCCACAACTTATCAGGGGAACACAAATCAGCATAGAAACCAAGATAGGAAATGCTTGCAAGACAGAGTTTCTCTCTTTTTTATCCCTGTGTCCCCCGTGATCCATAGGACAATATATTGAAAAGGAAAAGGGCTGAAATCAGACCCACTTTCACTTCCATCTCAGCCATGTCACAACTGGCTGTGTGTTCTTGGACAAGTATCTTCAGCTCTCTAGAAAGTTGGAAAACAATAGCTGTCTTAAATGGTAGTTGTGTGAACTCAGTAAGATAATATTTACAAAGAATTTAGCTTCACGGCCACCTAATAAATATTTATTTCTTCCTCTAACAGCCACTTAGTAAATATTGAATAATTGATGCATTAGCAAGGAATCTAGTTAACTACCCAATTTTGTTCTAGAAGAAGCAGCTGTTAAGAAATGAGATTGCTACTAAATTTTGTTCAGGGGCACCACAAAGAATTTCTTCTAACCTGTGCTTCCTAAACAGGTAGTTACTAGAGCCAGAGAACTTTATACAAGTGTGAGATAGGTATATATACCACAAACTCATGGTTTCCAACTCCACTTGGGCCCCAATATGACCAAGCAATTCTTCTGTGTATTCCTTAGTTCTTGTTCCCATTTCAGATCTTCTCCATGCACCCTGAGCTCCCTCCCCAATTTCCACCTTGCTTATTCTCAGCAAATGGTCTATCTACCTCAACTAGGTTTAAGAGAAAAGAGGTTATAAGCTAGGGATTTGCTACTCTTCTTCCTCCAAGTTGGAATTATTCTCTTTCTGGACTCTTCTCAGCCTCTTCCCTCTGATGAGACCAAAAATCACGTTCCATCTGCTCTCCAGCACTAATCCATCTGCTTGCCTGCTTATCCTGTTCCCTCTGATCTCCTCTGGCATCTTGTTCTCCTGATGGCCCCCTCTCTCCCACGCTGCCTTATCTGTGCTGTGCTATTTGCTACTTCATATTCCACACTCAAGTGATGCTGAAGAGCTTCAAGATTATTGAACACACCATATTCTTTCATAGTTGCATGCCTCTGGACACACTGTAGCCTTTAATGAAAACATCCATTCACCTATCTTCCTTGTAAATTATCGTTAGTTTTTGCCTAAACCAACTTCTGTTAGGCCTTGCTGTACTTTCATAGCACACTCATGAGCTCCTTCAGTTCTGCTCTGACTGCACCTTGTACCCATCTCCACAGTGTTCCATCATGATAAATTATGATGTAATTCTTACTTATATGACTCCCCACAAAACTTCAGCTGTGTGAGGGCAAAAACTATCTTTTTATATTTGCATCCCCAGTACCTAGCACAGCACACAACACATGGAGGAACCTAACACATGTTTGTTAAGTGGATGATTGAATGAATGAATCAAAGTTAACCAAAGAGTTACATAATATGGACTTAGGACCTGAGAAGAACAACCTCAATGTGGCCATAGAGTAAGTAAATAGGATTTTAGGTAGATTACAGCTGTTTAGAGGAATCCTTCCGAATTTAGCAATACCTGGGGCAGTGGGTCTGAAGATCTTCCAAATTTCTGATCTAGATAATTAAACATGATCATATTATAAGGATGGTTTTTACTGGTGTTGTGGCATTCATCAAATATCATCAAAGTAAAGACAGAGAGTGATGGGACAGTCCCATCTTTAAGGCTGTTCACAAGAATCTGTGGAGTTAAAATGATGATATCATTGTTCTCAACAGTCTGTTCCACTGAGACATTCTCAGATGTTGCTCCAGAAATGCCTGCAACTTTGTACCTGGGAAATGAGAGAAATTCTCTATTATCAACCACAATGGGAATGGGGATCCAAAAAAATATGAAACCCTAGATATGAGAACACCAAAGCTCTCCCTAAGTTCAAAAGGAATATAGCTGGAGACAAGGGCTTGCAGAGTCTTATCCATAGTAAGTGGTCAATAAGTGCAAACTATTGCTAGTAGTATACATTAATTCTCTCAAGCCACTGAGGAAGAAAATAGTATTTAAAGACTAATATTAAATAAATTATGAAATCATTAAAAAGTTAAAAGTGTCATTTAAATGTAAAATTTATCTCTTAAGTCACTTACTCATTCTACAAGAGTTAACCAAAGGAATTTAGGATTGCAAACATATCTAACAAAAAAAGGCTTGAGTCCATGGAAGAATTACATCTAGATTATATAAAAGCTATATCTATTATAAATCTTTTGAATCATGGTTTTCTAAAAACAAAACAAAGCTGAAAACACACCAGTTACATGAAGCTAGAGAAAAAGAAGTAGGACCAACTGTTATACCTACCCAAGTCTTTCAAAATATTGTGAGAACACGGATTTCTGCTGTTCATATACTGGGAGTTGAATAGCAAAAAAAACAACCTTCCCCTTTTGTCCTTCTGGAAATTTTTTAAGATGATGTTCACATATAAGAAGTGAAACAAAGGTTTTTCCACAACCTTTTAACATATAAAGAAAAAGAAAATGTGTAACTAATATTATACTAAAATATTTTTGTAGAAAGGTAGTTATTTTTGGCTCCCCCAAAACCACTGTGCTGACTAGTAAACTGGTCATGTAGATGGTTAACAATATCAGAATTTATACCATGACCAAAAATTATCAAGGCATTTCCTAGGGTACATGCTCTCAAACAGCCTGAATCAAACTAAGAGAGGGCATTTTTCTTTCACTCCTCATGTTCTTTAAAATACCCTGAGACTATATTAATAGGACAGTTTCTCAAAAGACAAACAGAACAAGGGAAAACCTGAAACTTGCCCATTTTGTCCCATTATTCAATAAAAGAAGAAAAAGTAAGACACAGTATAAAGGTAATAACAATTGTCTTACCAGTCGGAGCACATATTATTGCATTTTTTCCTTCCTTAGCAGGCAAAGTGAGTTCTAGTTGGTAATTTCTTGGCTTCATTGGGCTGTAAGTCTGAGACATTCCTGTAACAGAAAAGGAACAAAATTACTAAATAGTTACTGCTCTGAGGAATTAAGGCAAAAGCTATCTGTAGTCAAATGAACAGGGATTAGGACTCTAGCAAAAAGAGCTTCATTTAAGAATTTAGAATCCTCATCTCATTACTATTTCAACTTCTTCACTGATTTGAAGACAGAATTCTCCCTCAATGGCAGAGTGCTGACGGCAAGAAAGAAAAAACAGTAACAAGAGCCCACAGAGACTTATTTCTTAAGCAATCATGGAGGCCTAGAAAGGAGAAACTAAAGCAAGAATGGACTAATTTCACAGCAAGACAGACAGCCATCAGTTAAAGGAAATCCTACATAGAAGAAAACAATGATAAAACTCTCCAAGACCTTTGAAAAACACCAAACTGTAAATATTCAATTCCTAAAGCAATGCTGGCAAGGATGTGGAGAAAAAGGAATCCTCCTACACCGCTGGTGGGAATGTAAATTAGTTCAACCATTGTGGAAACCAATATGGAGGTTCCTCAAAAAACTAAAAATAGAAATACCATTTGACCCGAGAATCCCACTCCTTGGAATTTATCCAAAGAATAAAAGTTCTCAGATTCAAAAAGACATATGTACCCCTATGTTTATTGAAGCACTATTTACAATAACCAAGATATGGAAGCAACCTAAGTGTCCATCAGTAGATGAATGGAAAAAGAAGATGAGGTACATATACACAATGAAATACCATTCAGCCATAAGAAAGAAACAAATCCTACCATTTGCAACAACATGGATGGAGCTAGAGGGTATAATTATGCTCAGTGAAATAAGTCAGGCAGAGAAAGACAAACACCAAATGATTTCCCTCATTTGTGGAGTATAACAACAAAGCAAAACTGAAGGAACAAAACAACAGCTGACTCACAGACTCTAAGAAGGGACTAGTGGTTACCAATGGGGAGGGGTGGGAGAGAGTGGGTGGGGAGGGAGGGAGAAGGGGATTGAGGCGTATTATGATTGGTACACATGGTGTGGGGGGATCATGGGGAAGACAGTGTAGCACAGAGAAGGCAAGTAGTGACTCTGTGGCATCTTACTACACTCATGGACAGTGACTTCAATGGGGTATGGGGGGGACTTGATAATATGGATGAATGTAGTAACCATAATGTTTTTCATGTGAAACCTTCATAAGAGTGTATATCAATGATACCTTAATAAAAAAAAATTCCTAAATCAATCTCTTATTGAAGAGCAACCATGCTGTAATTCTGCAGGCTCTCACATGGTGTTTTCTCAGTTGAACCAGAAGTTTTAAAAAATAATCAGAGGCTTTATCTCACTAACACATAAGCATATAGAATGTTAAGAGCTATAAAAGACCTTGGAAGTCATGTCTTGAGTCCCACCTGTCCATTTTTTTAAAAAGGAGAATTTCTAAAAAAAAAAAGAAAAAAGGATAAAAAGGAGAATTTCTAAAAGGTTAAATGAGTTCACTAGGGATCTTTATACATCAGAACATTTAAAGCAACTTAAAACGATTGATTTTATTCTGGAATGACAAAAAACTTGTATCTTCAGTTGCAGAAGTGACCCGTAAATTTTCTTCTTATGGTGTTACCCCCAAATCATATTTTTCTTCTAAAACAACTCATTATTAATCATAATATCTGATGCCCTTTTTAAATATCTTTTTACTATGACTTTTTATGCAACTTTATGGACTCCTCATGAAAATATGCTTCTAGAAACATAAGGTGGACCTTACAGGGCCACAGCTAACTTGTATAGTGTCTCTGTGTGAATTACAAAAAGGAGTCCCTCTTGGAGGACACAACCCCTCAGTGTACTGTTCGGCAGAGATCACAGGCTGGATCTCAGACCCATGCAGCCTCGCAACTGGCACAGTTGTACAGTACACAAACTTCACCAACTTATGTTGCAGCCCTTTGATCTTAAAAGCAAATTGGGCAAGCGACTCACAAATAGTAGAAGTATTTCTTTAAAAAGCTGGGTTGATTTTGGATTGATTTTGGATTTCATAGACATTGAGTTTCAGGGAGGACTCTATTTTCATTATGGGCATGCACATATTATCTTAGTGATATAAGACAAAAAAAAGATAAAAGAAGCAGAGCTGACAAATCTATAAAAGAGAAAGGATAATATTTCTAATTATAGAAAAGGTATCTATTTTTAATGTAAATTCTCTTTTCTTTCTTATGTTTCCTCAAAAACCTTTCATAAGGCCATGACTTTTTGTGACTGCAAACACATACCCACCCAAAATACCTGAAGAGTTCCATCACAGAAAAGAACACTGCTGGGTACCTGAAGGTGAACATGAATTCTGACTAAGATTCTGGCATTCTGGTTCTTCCTTGTAAAAAATCTGCACATCGGTTTCCACTTCATCATCCTCAGACTCTTTGATTTCAACATCTTCTGCACCTTTATGAGACCAAGAAACATCTTAGAATCTTTAGCTAATCTGATTATTGTCTTGATGGTGAAAGTCCTGGAGAGATCATAATACTAGAACTAGAATTTTAAAGTTCCAGTAAGAATTCTCACAACTGCTCCCTTCACCTTTTGAAACAATTAAAAGAAATATTTCTGAGTTTGATATCTCACTTTGGAGTTTGAACTCCAATGTCATTTAGGACTTTTTTTATTCAAAGTGTGGAACATGGACCAGCAACTTTGGAAGCTTATTAGAAATGAAGACTCTTGAGCCCCTACTGACTCAGAATCTGCATTGTAACAAGATCCCCAAGTGATTCACGTGCACAATAAATTTAGCTGACATTCATATCTTTCATTGCTGCCCTAACCCAATAAATCAGACGTGTATTTTATACAGACAATTTCTTGAACAACCTGTGATCTAAGGAAGGCTGGGAAAAGCTGAGACCAGACCCTCAGATAGGTTAGCAAACTCAGCCTCTAAAGCAGTGCTCTGAGATGTCAGCTTCAGGAAGCCCAAGGATGGCTCAGATACTTAATCACAACAGGTTTTTTTTTTTAATCCTGTTCTATGGCTTCCAGGCAAGAGAACCAGCCAATGTCTATCATGATTCTACTCTGAAAATGGGGTGGGTCATGGAGTTTGAACCTTTAACTAGATTTTCAAGCTATTTTTCTGATAATCTAAACCCAGACAGAGAGCTCAAATTCTGGCTTACCCAAATCATTCAAGCCAGATGGGCTAATTCTGGATAAGTCGTTTTCCCTGGCTTATTTTTACGGTTATATACAACTAATTTCTGTAGGCAAGTAACCACTTGCCTCCCAGAACTCAATTGCATGGTGGTCTCTTACTAAAGATGTAGCCATGGGTGTCTGACTGGAAAAGAGTCCCAGACAATGAATGAAAAACAAGTAGGAATAAAGGAAGACCTAAGTAAAATTATGAGGAAGACAGAGCATGTTTTCAGACTCTCCCACCTTTCAGAGCTCTGCCTTGGAATATCCTTCCTACCTTTCTCTACAATCCATAGTTCACTGAACTTGCTCTCTTCTTTCTCCAAAGCAAGTTTCAAAGCTTTGGGCCAGTTTCCCTTGTCTGATCTGAGAAGGCATTCAACCATTTTCTCTGCACCTGCCATCGACCCCTTGTTGGAACAAACCTAAGCAAGAAAACTGCAGTTGACTGACCAATTATTTCAAAAGTTTTCCTTTTATTAGTTTTACTAACGAAGTATCAATTTCAAGTACTATCTGATTTAACAATCATTATATACTATGGATCAATGGGTCTTATTCAGGATCATTGTTTGCCCCATCCAACAGGTCTTTTAAGATACCCTTTCTTTCATCCTTGTTTTCTACATGTGGTATCACCATGTCAAGCCAAATGTTTTCACCTTCTCTGAGATCTTACATCTATCTTCATTAGCAATATTAGGAAAACAATTAAACCATTTGACAACCACTCAAAATATGGGTATACTGGCATAAGATATTAGGAAGGGCATAACAAATTACTAAATTGTTTTTTCAGGGTAGTGGGGCTTACATGACTTTTATTATTAATGACAATTAAAATTTATTGAGCACTTATGTGCCAATCATATGTAAGATAACACTTTACATATATTATCTCATTTAACCCCAATAAAATGTATTAGTAAGATACTGTTATTATTTCCATTTTATACATGAAGAAACATACACATGCTTAGAGAAATGAAATAACTCACCTAAGATTATACAGCTAAGTGGTTGAGCTAAGGATTCTAACAAGATTTATTTGTGTCCAGTGCCTGAATGTTTAACCACTGTACTATTCTATAGACTTTTTTCTTTTTATTTGTTGAACTGTTCAATTTTATTTAAATTTGTATAAAACATTCACAAAACTAATGGAATAATTTTAACTGAAAATAGGGCAAACTTGAAAAAAACTTTACATAAAATTACTCAGTTCACAACTAAAAGTACTTATTCTAGGTAATTACACCTTAGATTGGGGATTTTTTGTGGATTTTAATTATCTTTCTCAGATCTAAAACAAACATAGAAAGAGAAGATACTTCCCATGTTTAAATTATTTTCCCCAAATTCAGTAGTTTACATTAATTAAATTACCTGTAGAATTTCTTCATATTCCTGACTAATTAAACATTCAGATATTTCAGGAAGGATATCTTTTGGATTAATTCTGATTTTAAATTCTGGTTGTAAACGCATTAAAAGCAATCGATAGTCTTCCAATTCTTCGATTTTTTGGAAATCCCAATTTTCAATGGCTTCATAAAGCCCAGAATAACCTGAAAAGAAAGAAGAAAATGGGGGCTCTTATGAGACTACTTTAAAAAATACATGAGATTAATATCACAGGAATCATGTTTGAATATATAATGAGAGAACTCAAAAAATATCTGTAAGTTACCTTAATTTCAAATTATCTTTCAAAAAAACCCCTCAGTATTTATCTTAGGCACCCAACATTTTAGGTCATCTAACAGTTTATCATCTCTTCAGAGAAGGACTAAATAAGGATCAATTTTAAGTCTTACATTTGGTCTTAATATAAAATCTTCCTTCCAAAGCACCTCATGGACTTTATCTAATCTATAAAACCATCATGCTATTCAGTATCTTCTCAGTGCAAAGTAGTAAAGGCAAAAAGAAACATTAATCTTAATACCTGCTCTTCAGGAGCTTACCTGCTACATTATACCAAGAAAAGAATATTAAGTAGTGGTTAATTTGAGTTAATGGAAAAATTATTTACAACTGTGATAATCCAGTAATGCTTTACTCTAAGGTTCTCTTACAGAATCATCAAGCTTGTCTGACTTTAAGGCCCACATTCTTTTCTTTAAGCTATAAAGAGCATAACAACAAAATGAACACATGTGAACCTATTACCCAACTTAAGAAGCAGAATATTCCAACACTTTTGTGGGTATGTGCCTCCTTTTTCCTACCCTTCTATCTCCCTGCAAAAATACCACTATCCTGTATTTGATATATCACTCCCCTGATTTTTTTTACTAGTTGCATGGCATGTGTTTGATTCCCTAAACAATATATGTTTAGTTCAGTTTGTTTGGAATTTTATATTCTACTAGATGCCATTTCCTCTGACTTTTTTAAAAACTTAATATTACATTTCTAAGCTTCATTTACATTGTGTAAAGCTGTGTTCATATATTTTCATTGCAGTAAAATGTACTATCATGTCATTATTATAAAATGTATCCATTCTCCTCTTGAAAGATACAGGGATTGCTTCCAGCTTTGTTTGCTTGCTTGTTTGCTTTTGTTACTAGAAACAATTACACTATGAACATTCTTGCTTGTGTATTCTGGAATATATGTTTTAAGAGTTTTTCTAGGCCACATACTTAAGATAGAAACTGTTGGATAGATGGATACGTGACAGTTGAAATACACAAGATGATGCCAAATTTTCAAAATAGTTGTATCAATTTGAATTCTGTATAGTGATATTTAAGACTTCCCCATTATTAAGTATCGTCTTCAAGCCTTAATGCTGTTGGACTTCTTGTCTTGCTGTCTAATAGTTGCAAACTGCTATCTCATTGTGTTTGTAATTTGTAATTCCCCAATTGATAATCGGGCTGAGGATATTTATGTATTTATTAACCTTTCATGCTTCCTATCCTTTGAAATGTCAGGTTACATCTTTGACTTGATAGATGGTTTCTTTCTTTTTCTAATTAATTTTAAAGCCATTTTAATATATTATAGGTACTAATTCTTTGGTGATTATGTACTTTGCAAATATCCTCTCCTAGTCTGTTACTTTTTTTTTTCATTCTATGCTGTTTGTTTTTTTTTGAGAGGGTATCTCTCATATTTATTGATCAAATGGTTGTTAACAACAATAAAATTCAGTATAGGGGGGTCAATGCTCAATGTACAATCATTAATCCATCTCAAGCCTAATTCTCGTCAGTCTCCAATCTTCTGAAGCATAACGAACAAGTTCTTACATGGTGAACAAATTCTTACATAGTGAATAAATTCTTACATGGTGAACAGTACAAGGGCATTCATCACAGAAACTTTCGGTTTTGATCATGCAATATGACCTATAAACCATCAGGTCAAATATGAATATTCATTTGATTTTTGTACTTGATTTATATGTTGATCCCACATTTCTCCTATTATTATTATTATTTTTATTTTTAATAAAATGCTGAAGTGGTAGGTAGATGCAAGATAAAGGTAGAAAACATAGTTTAGTGCTGTAAGAAGGCAAATGTAGATGATCAGATGATCAGGTGTGTGCCTATGGACTAAGTATTAATCCAGGCTAGACAAGGGCAGCAAGACATCCACGGATGCAGAAGATTTCTCTCAAAGCAGGGGGGGTGAGGTTCTGAGCCTCACCTCTGTTGATCCCCAAATTCTCACCTGATGGCCCCCCTGCGACTGTGCCTGTCTTAGGTTGTTCCTCCCTTGAGGAATCTTACCCGTCTCTGGCTAACCAGTCATCTTCCGGGGCCATACAGGGAAATGTAAAGTTGGTAAGTGAGAGAGAAGCCATATTGTTTGCAAAGGTTAGCTTTTTACTTCTTTGCAGATTTATGCCCTGTGGCTTCTATGCCCAGCACTTGTCTCGAGGTATCTTTACCACCTGGAGGAATTATGATACTCGGTAAATTCGATATGAGGCACGAATTCTATTTAANTATGTGTGAATGGAGTGAGGTAAGTAATATGAATTAATTTGTACCCACATGGTTGTGAAAGTTAGGGTCTATTGTGTTTTTAACATTATCCTATTCAGTTATCCTGTTTATAATGGTCCATTGCAATTTAGCAAAATGGGAGAAAAGGATTAAAGATGGCAGTGTGAGAGGTAAGACAGAGGCTTCCTCCTAAAACCGCATATAATATGAAAATATAATTGCAACTAATCCTGAAGGAGTAACAGGAAAGAGGGCTGCGCCAGACTGCATACACCTGGAGAAAAGAGCAGACCTCACAGAACAGGGAAACATATCAAAGCTGTGGCCCAGCGGGACCCAAGCCCTTCCCCCACCCCAGCTCACCTGCAGGAAGAAGGGAAATGGAGCAGGGAGGGAGTGGAGGCCTGGAACTGCTGAATACCTAACTCTGGAGATCTGCTCTGGGAGCACAAACCTACATTTTATGGTGCTTGCATAGTACTCTTGTGATTAGGGGGTTGGAAAGCTAAGACAGGCAGAATTCCTGGGGAGACTGAGATTCCAGCCACTTGTGGAAAGCAGGGATCCATATCTGGCTGCTCTGGGGCAAAAGAAAGGAGGGCAGTCTGAGAGACTTCCTAACAAGGAAGCCCTTAGCAAGAGGGCTGCTGAAGGGGCAAGGATTGCACAGAGCTTACTGCTCAGGAGAAAGGACAGACAAAAATTGTCTGGGTGCACTCTGCCCAGCAGGTTGGGAGCTTTCATGGGAGCTCCCTGGCTGGCTACACAGCTCCAAGGACCCCCTCAGTGATATGCAGCCTACTGTGCCTTTCTCCCAGCCAGCCTCACCTTGCTCGCAAACCGACAAACCCTACCCTGGCATTATGCCAGCCAGAGGGGAGATCTGTCTACAGCAACTACAAACGCAAAGCATAGAGGCTTATACCTGTGTGCTTGGCCCACTGGTTCAGGCAGTGGAGACAGGCATAGCAGCCGGGAAGCAGGAAACAGCTCTTTCCTCCCCCCAGGCACCAATACCATTCCCCTGCGAGCCCCAACATTGCTTCAGGGGCTGGACAGCTCCAGAGAGTAGAGCTTCTGGACACTATAGGGTACCATATGCAAATATGAAACACCAAGGGAACCTGGTTCAAAGTAAAATTATTATTACAACTCCTGAGAAGATTTAAATGACATCAACCTCATGAATCTTCCTGAAAGGGAGTTCAAAATAAAAATCATTAACATGCTCATGGAGGTATGGAAAGATATTCAAGAACTCAGGAATGAATTCCAGTCAGAGATCCAATTGCTGAAGAGCACAATGGAGGGTATTAAAAGCAACTTAGCAAAATGTCCCTCCTTTCCTAATGATCCTCCTTTCTCAATGATCTCTAATATATTAGGTTTCCATTAAGTCTATGAGTCTAGTTAAGGCTCATTTTCATTGGTTAGTTGGTCAATGCCAGGACAAGTGTCATGCTGTCTCAATGCCTACACCTTATAATAAATCTTAGTATCAGGAAGGGGAAAACCCAGCCTACTTAATTCTTCTTCTTTAGGGATGTCTTAACTATTTTGGGGTCATAATTCTTCCATATACATTTGGGAATCAGCTTGTCAAGCTTAGGAAAAAGCATACAGGAATTTTACTAGACTTGTACTGAATATATGCAGATCAGTGCAGGGAGAGCCAACGTTTGTATATCAAGTCTTCCTCTCAATGTGCATAGGTATGTGTCTCCACTTAGGTCTTCCTTAATATGTTTCAATAACATTTTATCATTTTCTCCATTCAGACTTTACATAATTTTTGCTAGGTTTATTCCTAAATACATTACACCTTTTGTTACTATTATAAATGGCATTTCACTTTAATTACATTTTTTATTTGCTTTCAGTGGGTGGAAACACAACTAATTTTTATACATTGTTCTTATATCCAATAAACTTGATAAACTCTCCCACTAGTTACAACAATCTCTCTGTAGATTCCTTTGGATATTTCAGGTAGATGATTATATTATCTGCCTAAAAATAGTCTTCATATTGCCTCAGACTAAGAAACAGGAATAATATGTGGATACCTCAAAATTAATAGCATTTCACTTTTCCAGCATTCTGAAACACTCAAGCAATATACATACTCTGACTTGTAAGAGGAATGAACTAACCTGCTTGGTGAAGGGCATCCAAAAAGCCACGGAACCAGCCTTCCTCTTGGAGCTCCAATAGGAACCTCAGAAAAAGCGAGGCAGCCTCCATTGCACCCTTGTTGTTTTTCTCAGCCTGAATATACTGGAGCTGATCTACAAACAGAAGCAAGAGTGAGTTGTCAAACTGCAGAACCTTAAAAAGGATTGTCAGATCTTCTCAAATGGGGATAGGGATTATAACAATCATACCAATGGAAGGAAATGCAGGAAGGCAGCAAATTCTCTGCCTAGGCAGATTACCCCTATTCTTCACCAACTCTCTCTCCCTTCCTCTGGAAACTTCTCCTAGTTTGGTATGGAAGTCTAGGAACACACTCTAGGACAGTCTTTAAGAAAAGGAGTTGCTTAAAAATGTTTGAAAAAGTCTCCCCACAACAAGGGAGAACTCACAGTAGCATCAGATTAGATGGAAGAACAGAGGCTTCCTCCAACATTTTGGTAGCCCCTTGTTGAAAAGTCTAATGTAATTGCAGGACTAAAAGAGTATGAGGACAAGGTCTCTCTATGGCATAAGTTGCAATTACAGTGGACTCAGCAGACTTAGAAATAAACAGAGATACTTTCATGGCCTTTTCCTAGGTTTTTGCTAAAAAGTTAGGAAATATAGCAGAGAAGAGAGACCAAGAGGATCTAAAGAGAAACACAATGAGGCCAGGGAGCAGAAAACTACCCACCATGCTGTGTGGTAGTTGATTCTGTACACTAACTCCACATCTGGAGTGGGTAGTGGTGACCAAACAGTTGCCCTTGCAGGACTTGACATTTGATAGTAATCCATTTTTTTCCCTATTGTCAACATAAGATAAATTCCAAGGGAATAACAGTCTGGCTGGTTAACCATTGTATTATCAACAAAGGTAGTTGAATAAATAAAGGAAGAAAAGGAAGGAACGTTTTCCTTCTCTGCCACGATCTCTGTCTTAGCAACAATAAGACTAACTTTTCTAAAGTGTAAAATTCAACAGTTTTGAGAATTGTGAATCCATCGGTGCTAATTTTAGTACATTTTCATTGCTGCTAAAAAGAAATCCTGTATCCATTAGCAGTCACTCCCTCCCTCTTCTCTCCTCTCAGTCCTAGGCAATCACTAATCTACTTAAGTCTCCATGGATCTATTTTGGACATTTATATGAATGGAGTGATATAATATGTGGCTTTTGTGACTCAGCATAATGTTTTCAAGGTTTATTCGTGTTGTAGCATGTATTATTCATTCTTTTATATTGCTGAATAATACTCCATTGTGTGGATATACCATATTTTTGTCTGCTATTTATCAGTTAATGGACATTTAGGATATTTCCACATTTTGGCTATTATAAACAGTGATGCTATGAACATGCACATACAAGTTTTTGTGTGTGCCCATGAATTCACTTCTTTTGAGTATACACATGGGTGTGAGATTGCTGGGTCATATGGCAACTCCACATTTCACTGTAAGGAACTGTCAAATGGTTGTCAGAAGGAGCTGCATCATTATACATTCTCACCAGCAATTTATGAGGATTCTAATTTCTACACATCCTTGCAAACAGTTCTTACTTTTTAATTTTAGCCATCTATATCAGTTTTCTGTGGCTGCAGTAACAAATTACCATTAACTGGGTGGCTTAAAACAATAGGAACTTATTTTCTCACAGTTCTAGAGGCCAAAAGTTTAAATCAAGGTGTTGGTAGGGCCACACTTTCTAGGTTCTAGGGGACAATACATTCCTTGCCTCTACTGGCATCCTTGGCTTGTGGCCACATCATTCCCTTCTCTGCCTTCACATGGCTGTCTTCTTATGAGGGCACCAATCACATTTGATTGGGAACCCACCATACTCCAGTACAACCTCATCTTAACTACCTGCCTCTGTAAGATCCTATTACAAATAAGGTCACATTATTATGTATTGAGAGTTAGGACTTCAACATATCTTTTGGAGGGTGGGTGGAGACACAGTTCAATCCATAACAACAATCTATCTTGTCAGCTATCCCAGCTTCCCTGGGCACACAATCCCATTCGATTCCTTTGAAGTAGTTAATTCTGTTCCTAAACCCAGTTCTTACAGCTGGGTTCTTGCTCCCAGGCCTCTGTGCTGGTTTGTTCTTCTGTTAGACTTGCTAGCAGCCATTACTGATTTTCCACAGGGAGGTCCAGGTTTATCCCAGTCCCAGCTGAAACCTCTCCAGGTAAACTGTCTTGCCATGTCACATCCTGGGCAGTTTAGGTTCACTTTGCACCAGGCCAGGCCCATCCCACTACTTCCTGGCCTCAGTATCTGCTGCTACTAAGCAATGCTGCCCCTGGCTATTTTGTAATGCCAGCTTCAGCTTCCCAAGGTTGAATTTCTTGATCTTTATTCTGGCATTCATGTTCTCCTTACATGCTTCTGATTAAAGCACTGACACTGCACAGTATGTAATAATTGCTTGATTCTCCCTTAGGTTGTGTCATGCACAGGTTATATTCATCTCTGTATTCTAATCAGCAACAAAGTGCCTGGCTCATGCATGTGTCTGGAAAACGTTACTGAATGAGTGGACTACTCAGAATGCTGCTTACCCACTGCCCCTCTAGAATAAGGGTTACCCTTTGACTCCAAAGGGATATTGCAAAAAAATCTATAGCCCACACCCAGGTCTACTTTGAAATAACCTGTATAATGTGTGAATGAGCAAAGCCCTACAGTACCCCAGTGACTAGGCAAGCTCTCTTGAAGAAACATAGCTTCAATTCTCCTTTCTCAAGATATAACTAGTGTATAATATCCAATATGTGGCAAAAAGAATTATAGTAAAAGAAATACTGGACATTGCTCATGTACTTTAAATATAGTGCTGTGTGTGTGTGTGTGTGTGTGTGTGCATGGGGAATGTATGGGCATTCCAATGAGGGGAAAAAGTGAGTTAAAGTTTACATGCAGCCTTAACACTCATTACTGTCTCCACTCCCTGACTGAATCCTGACTGATAAAATATACTTATCACAATTAAGGTTAATCAATAGAATCCAGAACTTCCAAAGCAGCCAAGAAAAAAATAGAGGTTAAAAAAGCTTTAACAATCTAACAGGAAACAAAAGTTTATGGATATATGTGTAGGTGATAAAGCATTAAACAAATGAACAGAAAAGATATAAACCAACTAAATGACAACAGCTGCCTCTGGGAAGAGGCTCAAAATAAAACCTCTATGTTTACTTTACTATTCTAAAATAAGACATTATACACAATGTTTTTCAACCTCCTTTTTTTACTTATCTTTTGGTGTTTTTGTTGTGATTGCATTATAGCTATAAATTAAAACGAATATATATTAAAAACTACCACACCTATGCACTCCCACAGTACACTATGGTTTTCCATCAAAGCACTTACCATACTTTATTTTCTACTGTTTATTTAGTTACCTGCCTTCACATATGCACTCTATTCTCTTATTAGGACAGGGACCATTTCTATTGTGCTCACCACTGATTCCTCAGTAATTAACATGATACTTGCTATTAAATATGTGTAGTAATATGTGTAAATTATCTCCAGTGCTAACAGAGTGCCTGACACGTGGCTTACTTCTTTACTGAATCAATACATGAGTACATGAAAGAATGGGATTCACACCAGTTTGTTAGTGTTTCATTCATTCAAATGATTCCTAAAAGAGATGTCTTAACAGGAGCTTCCCTTTTTCACGGGCCCAAGCTGCTCCGCTGCCATTAAGATGTTATTTTGTAACTTCTGAGCACAACTAGAAAGAGCAAGTCTACCTTTGTCAAATTCTTTCACTGCTCACTCCACAACCAATGGCTTGGTTTTGCAGAAGAACTAGCATTTAAATTACCTGTCTGCCTTGACGCAATTTCCAAAAACCGCCTCGCTTCAGGAAGATACTTAGGAATTGGGAGCCTGACAAGGAACTACAAACTCCTCCCTCTGCCATCTCCACTCCTTCCAGGCACCGCCCCTCTTCTCCTCCCCAAAGCCTCGCCTACAAAGCACTTCAATACAAAAACACAAAATGGCCATTATCCACCATCATGTCTCAAAAGCCAGATGGAAACATCTGAATTGCTGCCTAAAGCCATTCAGTCCAGAAATCTCGCTCCTCTCAAGATTTCAGTTACTCGGAAGTGCAAGTAAGACCCCGGGCAGAATAAGCGTCAACTTCCTTGGCTCTCTAATTATTTGCGTTCAGCTGCCCTCACCGTCTCCAACCCCCAACATCTCGGCTATAACGTATTTTAAGGGCTTGTATCTTATTTCTCAATCTCTGATGTCAGTATAAAGCCAAACACATAGTAGACATAATTATTAGAGGAAATAAATGAAATGGACAGCGATTTGTTTGTCCAGCTTTGAACCTAAATAGAATGCACACCCAAACAAGCCATTTCACTCACTTCGCTGGGGCTTAAGTTTTCCCCTCCGGACCTCGAAGACAATCTCTAGTCTAAAATGCTGAGGGGAGCTTGCTTCAACCCCGGCGTTTCTAGCAGGTTATCTGTATTGACTACAAGAAAAGACAAAAGCAAGGGGGAAACAAGTCCTGAACTTGAACTGTTTTCCAGCCCCAAGGGGCAGGGGCCGCTGGGCCACTCACCCTCACTAAACCAGGGGGCCATGTAGCTCAGGATGTAGGTAGGGTCCAGCGTCCTCCTGACATAGTGACCGAAGGAAACCTGTATAATGTGTGAATGAGCAAAGCCCTACAGTACCCCAGTGACTAGGCAAGCTCTCTTGAAGAAACATAGCTTCAATTCTCCTTTCTCAAGATATAACTAGTGTATAATATCCAATATGTGGCAAAAAGAATTATAGTAAAAGAAATACTGGACATTGCTCATGTACTTTAAATATAGTGCTGTGTGTGTGTGTGTGTGTGTGTGTGCATGGGGAATGTATGGGCATTCCAATGAGGGGAAAAAGTGAGTTAAAGTTTACATGCAGCCTTAACACTCATTACTGTCTCCACTCCCTGACTGAATCCTGACTGATAAAATATACTTATCACAATTAAGGTTAATCAATAGAATCCAGAACTTCCAAAGCAGCCAAGAAAAAAATAGAGGTTAAAAAAGCTTTAACAATCTAACAGGAAACAAAAGTTTATGGATATATGTGTAGGTGATAAAGCATTAAACAAATGAACAGAAAAGATATAAACCAACTAAATGACAACAGCTGCCTCTGGGAAGAGGCTCAAAATAAAACCTCTATGTTTACTTTACTATTCTAAAATAAGACATTATACACAATGTTTTTCAACCTCCTTTTTTTACTTATCTTTTGGTGTTTTTGTTGTGATTGCATTATAGCTATAAATTAAAACGAATATATATTAAAAACTACCACACCTATGCACTCCCACAGTACACTATGGTTTTCCATCAAAGCACTTACCATACTTTATTTTCTACTGTTTATTTAGTTACCTGCCTTCACATATGCACTCTATTCTCTTATTAGGACAGGGACCATTTCTATTGTGCTCACCACTGATTCCTCAGTAATTAACATGATACTTGCTATTAAATATGTGTAGTAATATGTGTAAATTATCTCCAGTGCTAACAGAGTGCCTGACACGTGGCTTACTTCTTTACTGAATCAATACATGAGTACATGAAAGAATGGGATTCACACCAGTTTGTTAGTGTTTCATTCATTCAAATGATTCCTAAAAGAGATGTCTTAACAGGAGCTTCCCTTTTTCACGGGCCCAAGCTGCTCCGCTGCCATTAAGATGTTATTTTGTAACTTCTGAGCACAACTAGAAAGAGCAAGTCTACCTTTGTCAAATTCTTTCACTGCTCACTCCACAACCAATGGCTTGGTTTTGCAGAAGAACTAGCATTTAAATTACCTGTCTGCCTTGACGCAATTTCCAAAAACCGCCTCGCTTCAGGAAGATACTTAGGAATTGGGAGCCTGACAAGGAACTACAAACTCCTCCCTCTGCCATCTCCACTCCTTCCAGGCACCGCCCCTCTTCTCCTCCCCAAAGCCTCGCCTACAAAGCACTTCAATACAAAAACACAAAATGGCCATTATCCACCATCATGTCTCAAAAGCCAGATGGAAACATCTGAATTGCTGCCTAAAGCCATTCAGTCCAGAAATCTCGCTCCTCTCAAGATTTCAGTTACTCGGAAGTGCAAGTAAGACCCCGGGCAGAATAAGCGTCAACTTCCTTGGCTCTCTAATTATTTGCGTTCAGCTGCCCTCACCGTCTCCAACCCCCAACATCTCGGCTATAACGTATTTTAAGGGCTTGTATCTTATTTCTCAATCTCTGATGTCAGTATAAAGCCAAACACATAGTAGACATAATTATTAGAGGAAATAAATGAAATGGACAGCGATTTGTTTGTCCAGCTTTGAACCTAAATAGAATGCACACCCAAACAAGCCATTTCACTCACTTCGCTGGGGCTTAAGTTTTCCCCTCCGGACCTCGAAGACAATCTCTAGTCTAAAATGCTGAGGGGAGCTTGCTTCAACCCCGGCGTTTCTAGCAGGTTATCTGTATTGACTACAAGAAAAGACAAAAGCAAGGGGGAAACAAGTCCTGAACTTGAACTGTTTTCCAGCCCCAAGGGGCAGGGGCCGCTGGGCCACTCACCCTCACTAAACCAGGGGGCCATGTAGCTCAGGATGTAGGTAGGGTCCAGCGTCCTCCTGACATAGTGACCGAAGGCGTGCAGATTCCTCCGCTGCTCCGCCGTCATGCCGGCGGCTCCGCTCGCGACAGGTCCCCGCCTCACCTGCGCCCCTCTCGCTTTTTGCTCCGCCGGGAGTGACTTCCCAGGCGCTAAGGAGGCGGAGCTGCCGAAGAGTCTCAGCAGCAGAGGAAAAATCGAAACTGCAACCAGCGGCGCCACGGGCGGACGCGGCGGGGAGGCCGGACAACCGCAGGTGCCGCCCCCCCCGCCCGGAACCGCGCGGTTCGTGCTCTGCGCGCTGTCACCGGCGGGCGCCCGCGGACCCAGCGGGGCCGGAGAAGACTTCTGGGAAATGTTTGGGTCTTAATTTTCATTTTATTGATCTTGTTTTGCTTTTGTAGCGTTAAAATTTAGATTCATTAAATGCACAATTCTCAAGGTACAATTCTATGAGTTTTGAAAAATATGTAAGGGTGTAAACACTTCCCTCAGTTTGTGTGGGTCCTGTGCCAATTGTTAAGTTTAACTTGACGAGAAACTGCCACCAGTTTTCCAAAATGGCTGTAGTACTGCATTCCCACCGATAGTGTAAGACAGCTCCGGTGGACGGGCATCGGTCAGTTCTGTTGGCCGTTTTGGTGTGAAATGGTGTAGTACTGTTTTAATTCTAATTTTCCAAATAGTTAATGATGTGGGCACATTTGCATGTACTTATTGGCCATTCTTTTATCTTCTTTTATGAGGCATCTGCTCCTATCTTTTGCCTGATTGTTTTTCTTTGTCTCATAGATTTACAAGTTACTTATTTATTCTGGATACAAACCCACTGTCAAATTTATGTAATCCAGATATCTTCTCAAAGCCTGTGACTTGCCATTTCATTTTCTTAAAGGTATCGTATGAGCCTGACACACAGAAAGTGAAGTGATACAAATAAAGCAAGTAAGAGTCATGAGACAAAATAATGGAGGTTGGCAAAGGGAAGAAGGTAAGGGAATATTTCTGATTAGGTCACATTTCAGCTGAATCCGTAAGAATTAGAAGGAATCAACTAGTAAAAAATGGCTGGGAGAGGGGGGATTCCATGCAGAGGGACAGAAAGCACAAATGGGTCAAAAACATGAAAGATATGTAGCTGGAACTCTATGAACAAGGGGTAAATGGTAGGCAGTGTTGCTGAATAGGTAAATGGCTTTGTAAGGCAAGAAATGAAGTGCAGTGCACATTGCAGGGTTTTAAGCAAGGAGTAACAGTTTAATCACATTAAAAAAAAACCTGTTTCCTATGCAAAAAGAGTAGATGGGTTAGAAAATGACTCCAGTAAAATATGCTGAGGTCATAGATAAGGACGGTGGCAGTGAAGCATTTAAGAACTGAATTTCTTGAGATATATTTTAGAAATAGGATTGAGTGAATATCAGTGGGAAGGAAGAATGAAAAAAAAAAATCAAGGCTACATTCCAGGCACCCAATTTGTCAATTGAGAGAATGATAGCCCCACAACTAAAGTGGAGAAGACAGGTTTAGAGCTGGGAGACAGACAAAAAAGTAGATGCCAGGAGGTAATAGTAAGTGCAGTGAGGAGAAATAAGACAGGATAAGGGAATAAAGAGTAATGGGGGCTACTTATCTTAGATGAGTTGATCAGGGAAAATCTCAATGAAGTGAGAGAGCATGCCTTTTGGGTGAAAAGCATTCTACTCAAAATGAACAGAAAGCACAAAGGCCAGAAGGCAGGAGTGAACTGGGTCCACCAAAGAAAAGGTGAGCAGGGCTGCTAGAGTCGAGAGGGCTGGGGAAAGAGAGGAGAGAGGTGGCCAAGACAGATCACCCAAGGCCTAACAGACCATGATAAGGACTTTGGGTTTTAATCCTATAGACTGGGGAACCATTGCAGGATTTTGAGAGGAGGCATTACATGATCTCATGTTTTTAAAGAATCACTGTGTTTGACTGCAGGAAAACAAACTTTAAGGGAGCAAAGCTGGAAGCAGAGTGACCAGGTAAGAAGCTACAGTACTAGTCCGAGTGAGAGATTATGGCATTTTGGATTAGGATTTAAAGCAGTGGAAATGGTGAAGTTGCAGACTATATAATCCTATTTGCTGATGAATTGAATGTCAGATATGTGAGAAAGTTGTGAGGGAAAACTGTTTTGTTTAGTCTGAACAGCTGTATAAATGGCATTGTTATCTACTAACATGGGACACTGGATGAGGGGCAGCCTTGGAGGAGAAAATCAAGAACATGCTTGGTTGCTTGCTGATGAGAATGAGCCATAGGCAGTGCTTCCCAAACATTAATGTGCACATGAATCACCCACAGGTCTTTAAGTGCAGTAGGTCTTTCTGGTCCAGTAGGTCTGAGAATCTGCATTTCTAATAAGCTCCCAAGTGATGCTGGTATTTATTGCTGGTCCACAGACCTCACATTGGTAGCAAAGTAACTAAAAACTAAGAGATAAAGGATAACTGAAAAATGAAAATTCATATTAAAATAAGGGTAACAGAGCTCTCAGGGAGGGATAATCCTAGAACAGTTCTCAAACTGTGGTTTTCGGGCCAGCAACATCAGACCTATCTGGAAACCTGTTAGAAAAGCAAATTCTTGGCATTCCAAACCCCCTAAATCAGAAACTCTATGTGTGTGTTGGGGGACGGGGGGTGATGGGGATAGCCACAATCCATTTGAACAAACCCTCCAGATGATTCTGATACACATGAAAGTTTGATAACCAAAGGCCTAGAGAAAGTGGGCTTCATCCACTCAGTGGAGAGAAGATGGATGCTGTAGGTTGATACAAAAACTACCACATTCTTCACTTTTCCCAATATTTACACCTTTTACAATGTAACTTTGCAGCTCCTCCCATCAACAGTGAGGTCTCTTTTCCCTCCGCTTGAATCTGCCTGGTCTTGGGACTTTGCTATTGGCAACAGAAATGATAGTGTGTCAATTTTGAGCCCAGGCTTCAAGACTCTTGCACACTTCTGCTCTCAGACCCCTGTAACCACATGTCAACGAGCTCAGGCTAATGTGGTGGAAGATGAGTGACCATAGAGAAAGCCCAGCTGAAGCCATCCTAGATCAGCAGACCCGCCAGCTGACTGAAGACACATACAAAAGCCAGTCAAGACCAAGACCAATTGGGCAGGCAGTGTCTCTATGTTAGAGGTATTGTTTCAGGTAAACGGGCAGGGTCTGTGCTTGCTTAAGCCTGGCACTGACAAGTACTGCCCAGCCAAAATGGAAAGTGTGTGGCAGGAAGAGGGAGGCTTGAGGAGGAAAAGGTATGAAATAGTCATTATATCAATGAGCAAGAATGCCAAAGAAACCTGTTCACTAATGTATAAATAAAGTTGAGGCTGATGATTGTGCTTTTATGGTGACATCTATTGCGGTTATTGATTTCTTTCACGAACCTTTAGCAGGAAGCATGTAGTAGGCACAACCCAAGAGTTGAGTTTGTCCAGATTGGGGTCTTGCTAGGTAATGAGTTAGCAAACTATTGCTTGCAGGAAAAATCTGGCCATGGCTTGTTTTTATACAGGCCACAAGCTAATAACTGTTTCAACATTTTTAAAGTGTTATAGAAAAAAACAAAGACTATACAACAGAAACTGCATAAAGCTCATAAAGTCTAAAATATTTCCCATCTGGCCCTTAAAGGAAAAGGTTGCTGGCCCCTAAACTAGGTGAATGAAGAGAAAAAGAAGGGCAAGAGAGTTGGAGGATAGGGCAAGGGAGTGATTTAAACTTAAGCCAGGAAATCACAGCTGGCAGGAAGGAGTGTAGAGGATGATGACCGAGAGTGGGGTCAAAAGATTATACTTCCTAGTCTTGTATTGTCTAAAAATCACACTAGAGCTCCAGGGAGGCAGCCTAACCTGCTCCACCCAGAGCAACACTCGTAACAGTGAGGTGCTCCCAAGAACTTAAAAATAAGATTAACCTCTTGGAAAGCCTGCTTATGTCCTACTGTGTGCAGGGCACTGTATTTGATACAGGAAATACAACATAACATTGAAGAGGCAAGGAAAGTATATGGTCTTTTTTGAAAACTTCTTTTGGCAGCCTCCTTAACGTGTTCCCTAGGATCCCCACTATGTCTGCTGCTTATCTTGCTCCACCTCCTTTCTCTCAGAGATCTCATCCATTCCCACAGTCTCTCTTCTACTCTGGGCCCCAGGGACTCCTAAATCATCTCTCTAATCCCAATCACTCTTCCAAGATTAACATTCCTATTTCTAGTTACCACTGGGTAGCTTCATCTGCACATGTCCTCTATTGCATGCAGCCAACAGAATTTTCTGTGATGATGGAAATCCTCTCCACCTATACTGGCCAAAATGGCAGCCATGACCTTCATGTGCCTATTTAAACCTAATTAAAAACTCTGTTCCTCACTTTTACTAGCCACATTTGTGGCACTCAGTATCCACATATGGCTAGTAGCTACTTTATTGGACAGTACAGCTCTAGGCATTCAAAGTCTCACAATGAATTCATTTTTCTCCCCCAAACTATCCCCAATCTTGTTATCTCCCACCTTGAATAGTATCACCATGCATTTAACTCTCAAATCCGAAAAAAATAGATTTTCTCCCATACTAGATTTTTTCCTCCCTCAAATCCCATCCTCATCTAAATGGTGCCCAAATCTTGCCTAGGCTACCTCAGAAATATATTGAATCTAGTCTTTCCTCTGGATCCCTATATCACTGTTCTGCTACAGGACATTCTGATTTCTGGTTTGAGCTACTTCAAAGAGCTTCTTGAGCAGTGTTTTAATGAGGCTTTCCCCATTCCAAACTTTCTTCTATATTATTGCTAGTTGTTTAATAGATCAAACTGTTCCATTCCCACCTTCTTTAAAATTCCTGCTTGTTCCATCCTGTGTCCTTATACCCCTAGCATTTGGCATAGCCTTGGACTGTATGTACTCAGTGTTTGATGAAATAAATACTATTTCACAGATAACAAAAGAAAAGATACTGCCTTGCTCAGGAGAGAACTATTTGACTATTTGAGTGTAGATGGTCATGCAGACAATCTACAGGCCCTACTGCAGGCAAATATCAGATGCCTAACTTTGCCCCTTTGTGTCTATAATAAAAGCATATCATCTTTCTGGCAAACATCGCAGTTGTAGCTTCTACAGGGATGAGTTTAGCCTCAGACCTTGGCCTAAAAAAATTCTGTTTTCCTTGCCTCTTGCTTTTCTCAGGCATAGATGCAATAGCATTTATTATCCCTTAGTATCCTTGCAGTTAAAGTAGGAAAAAATATACTAATTTTCATAATATTCCAATAACCAATATTACTGTGTTTTTAAATGGCCATGTACTACATACTGGTTTCTGTGATTCATGTATTAACTAAAAATTCAATAAGAACATATTTAGCAAGTTCTGATTACTTTCTCTGTGCATGTGCCAGCTGCTGTACAGAACATGTATAGTTTAAACAACAAGATGTAATACCCATGACACAACTGCCGCTTCTGACCTGTGCCTCCTGCCATCACCCAGAGTGTCTTCCATGGAGAGGGTACTTATAGCCTTATACGTCACTATCCTCAATTCCAATCACCTTCACCTCACCTAAATCCACTTTAGTTACTTCCAGTCATGCCTCAAATTAAGTGCTCTCAGAATATTTGTTCAGTCTTCTTACTTCTAGCCCCAATAAACCTACTTGAACTTAATTAAAAAATGAATCCCTTCTTACCTCCTCATTCTCTAAGGGTCACTTCACAGCTTCACTTCTTCCCCTACATAGCCCAGATACCAAAATGGATCAATTCAACTACTCTCACCTTACCCCTTTGTTGTTTTATTAATCCATTCAGAACTTCAACCATAGATACATCTATATATTCAGATAAATTCATCTATTATTCACAAATACTGAATGCATATTCTATGTCCAACATTAGTTTCTGCTGCTACTCCATGTTGAACAAAATCACAAATCTTATCATTCCATAAATTTAAACATCCTGTATCTCAAGTGAGGCCTCAACACCCATTGGCCATTCTTAGCTAACCCTCTCCATGCCCCTCAAGTGGCATTTTCCACTTCTCTACTTAAGTCCAATCCTACTTGTGATCCATCTTTTTCAGATGGCATTGCTTCCTAATTCATGGAGCAAAAAGAAGCCTTAGAGCATGAACTATTTCACCTTAATTCATCTACCCATGAACATCTCTGTGCATTTTTGCCTCCTTCAGCCAGTTTAGAATAACTTGCCTCTACTTCTATCCATTACTAACTCACTTACTGTGCTCCGGATGCCCTCAGCCATTCAGAAACTTTGTTACATCAGTTATCATGCTCCTTTATTTTCTTGTTCTGGGGGCTCCTTCCCAAAAAGCTTCTCTCCCTCCCACCCTAAAAAAATGGCAAACTCTCCTTTGAGTGTAGACCCCTCACAAGCTTGCTTCTGAGCATAGAACCAAGAGTAGTTAACTAAGTATCTCAGACTTAAGATCTTATCTCCTTCCTTCTAAATGGGACCGGAACATCTATCTAGACTCACTGACTTTGGCTCTTTCCAGAGAAAGTGTCTTTAATAGTCACTGCATATTTGCCTGTGGTTTTTTTTTCCCTTTTGCTGAGAATACATGGCTGTTGACTTACTCTTATTGACATAATCTCATAAAACTAGTCTTCCAGGCCTATAGAGGTACTTAACTTTTTGTTTTAAAATTCAAACTTAACAGAAAAAATTGCATAGTACAGATTCCGTGTATTACCCTCACTCACTTATTAACATTTTGGCACAATTTGCTTTATCATTCTTTCTCCCCATCTACATATGTAATACTTTTTCTGAACCATTTGAAAGTGGGTTACATACACAATGACTATGACTTAGCTTCCCATGTAGGTTTTCCTGAAGATGCCAATCCTTGGACATGTCTATACAGTAGTCCCCCCTTAATCCAGTTTCGTTTTCTGTGGTTTCAGTTGTCCAGTCAATTGCAATCTGGAAGTGCATAATCCTCCTGACATCGTGTCAGAGGTCAATACTACCCTAACACTATGCCACAATGCCCGTATCAACCTCACTTCATCTCATCACATAAGCATCTTATGACATTACAAGGGTCAGTATAGTAACAGTATTTTGAAAGGGAGGCCATATTCAAAGAACTATGAAAACAGTATTACAGTACACTGTTATAATCGTTCTCCTACTTTTTGTTAATCTCTCATTGTGCCTGATTAATTTGTCATAGGTATGTACGTGTAGGGAAAAACATATATAGGGTACAACACTATCCCTGGTTTCAGGTATCCACTGGGGATCTTAGAACATATCCCCTGTGAATAATGGGGGACTACTGTATAAATTCAGGTCTCAGTGACAGCTACATTGTCATAGTAATTTAATCAGTTGACATTTAGCTTATACACTTATACACAGGTCTACTGAGCTTAATGTGGGAAATGGACCCACACTCTGAATCCTGGTGAGATCTGGCTTGTTTGTGAAAAGGAACTCCTCCCCCTCTTTTTCCATCTCCTACCCCTGCTGGTGGAAATACTGCGGCTGTTGAGAACCCAAATCAGGTTATATGCAGTTTCCAGCATCCCAAACCACCTTCTTGAAAAAAATCTCCCAGTCCAGAGGTGTGCTGACTGGCTCAGGGTGTCCTACCTACACTGGCAAGGGCTGCAATTATTCCCCATGATGGAGAATTTCAAGTATGGGCTCTCAGCTTACCTTGCCTTAACACCTTGCCCCTTTGTACACACCACCCATCATTATTACTAGGCCCTGGATTAGTTCCCCCAAGAGTTGAGGACAAACTTGACTACTGAGACTAAAAAGTTCAAACAGTAACAAGTTTTCCTGTTGTGAACCTGAGAATCAATGAATGAGCAAGTGCAAATGCTTGGCTGCATTTCCTTTACACAAAATATATAAAGTCACAAGAACAGTGAAAACCTGATGTAAAATAAAATGTCTCATGGACACTGAATCCAGATGAACAAGTTTAAAGAATATAGTTATTAGGCTAAAAGTTTATAGACAGTAGAAAATAGCACCAAGTCCTCCATCCACTAAGTGCTTTAAGCACTTCCTAGGTGATATAAAACCAAGGGATATAGCAATACACATATGGAGGCAAAGTGGATCTATTCACTGTTTAGACCAACAGTGGATGCAGGCAGACCCATGATGGCAGTACAGCTGGGATCATGGCTGCCTAAGTTGGGTGATGGTATAGACACATTAGAAATATTCAAAAAACATTCTGTGACCAGGATTTGGTGATTGAATGAACTATGAAGGAGAAGGAATAATCAAAGACTTGGAACCTTATGCTTGAACACCTAAGAGGATGATGTGACAGTGCTATGGTTCACTAAGTGTTTAAACATCATGTATATCAGAATGTGAAATAAAATAGCATTCTTTAATTTTTAATACCCAAAACTTAACTCCTTTCATAATTTCAAAGTATATTCTTTGATCAACTATAGTCTTCCCACAATTTCTCATGTCTGAGATTACTAAAAATTGAATTTTTTAGTAAGTTAATTTTAGATTGTCATTTTAAACCAATATCCTACCACCCTTGGGATAAGCACAAACTAACTATGGCCTGTAGTGCTTAGTCCCCTGCTGTCTCCTTTGGGCAACCCTGCCCTCTTTCAGTTCTTA